CATGCCCGGCTACTTTGTATTTTTAGTAGAGACGGGGTTTCACCGTGTTAGCCAGGACGGTCTTGATCTCCTGACCTCGTGATCCACCCTCCTCGGCCTCCCAAAGTGCTGGGATTACATGCCTGAGCCACCGCGCCCAGCCCAAAGCTCGGTTTTAGAAGAGGAGGCTTTCTGTGCTTTATGAAAGCTTTCTGTGCCAGGCAGAGCAGCAGCTGTTACAGATGATGGATCCTAGAGAAAGAAGCCAAATGAAACCCCTTTTCATAACTACTTCCAGGGCCAGATATTTGAAGCTTACAACATGGCAGCTTTGTGGAAATTACCTTGTATTTTCATCTGTGAGAATAATCGCTATGGAATGGGAACATCTGTTGAGAGAGCAGCAGCCAGCACTGATTACTACAAGAGAGGCGATTTCATTCCTGGGCTGAGAGTAAGGACACCTGTGGTGGGGCCAGGGCCAAGGCCAGGGGTATGTCCTTGTGCAGACCCTTGACAATCTTAGAAACATTGCAGAGTTTCGTTCTCAAACATAAGCAGGTGATATGAAAGTAAAAGGGTTTGGGGCAGCTGGATTCATGCTTCGCCCCTCCCGTTTATTAACAGGTGGATGGAATGGATATCCTGTGCGTCCGAGAGGCGACAAGGTTTGCTGCCGCCTATTGTAGATCTGGGAAGGTAAGGCTCTAAAGGCCTCTGGGCTAATGACATTTATCTCTGGAAGTTCAAAGACTGCCTCCCGTGTGCCTGCTGAAGCTGTTAGTGGGTAGCTGCTAATTGAGGTGCACAAGATGGAAGCAGAGTGAAGCAAGCAGGGCTCCTTTGGGTAGCTTGGTCTTGGTAGCTCACCTGCTGGGAAGCCCACATTTCTCTCATTTGGGGGAAGTCTGTCCTGGTGCTTCCTCTGCTTTCGCCTGTCTTCATCATGACAACTACACTGCCTTTTTGTTAGGTTAATTCTGTCCCTCCTCCCCACCCCCCATTAATCATGAGTCCCTTGAAGGAACAGATTGGGGATCCCCGTAGTGTCCAGCATAGAATGTCATGTATACAATAGGCATTTAATATGTGTGTCTTACACAAACAGTATGGTTGAAGCTTGTAATCTTAGCCTTGCTCAGTCCTAAGGATCTTTCCCTTCAGTGTATGGCAGTGAGGGAGATGGTAACAGGGAGACTGGCCTAAAGAGGTTTCAGTTCCTTCAGCACTAGTATAGGCTTAGGAGGTTTGGGTGTTCTCCCTAAATTAGTGTTCCACAGCCCGGACACAAGGTTTCTGAAGTTGTCACTTCAGTGCCATACCATGTATGTTTGGGCAGTGATGCAAATGTCAGAAAGTGGGGAGACAGGGAAGTAAGGGTGGGATGTAGTAACATTAAATAAGAGCTAATGAGTAGAATGAACTAGAGCAGGACCAAGATGACAGCTTGGATACAATGGGCTGAGCAGTCTATGTCAGGACCCTAAGGCTGGGAGTGCCAGGCCCTGAGTGATGGATATTGACCCCACCTCTCCCAATTCCTGAAAAGAATACATGGGGGCCAGCCCTGGCTGGAGACATGGTGATTTGTAGAATGTATGACTTCTCAAACACATAACCTTCACAATTCTGAGTTAGGTGTTACTGTTTTGCCCATTTTGCAGACAAGGAAACTGAGCCACAGAGCAGTTAAAGGTACATAGCTACTCTTATCATGGAGCCAGCTCCCCACTCGCCCATTTTAACTACTGCACCAAACCAATCAAGGATCCTCAATGTTTCCCCATCCCTCAGTGTTCAGAGCCATCTCCTGGAAGTGGGCTAGTGTAGAATGAGCAAGCCACTTGGTGATAGACCCCAACTGGTCAGACTCCCAGCAGAGCCTCAGGGTTTGGGTAGCAGAGGTTGTTGGTGCCTGTCAACTTTGTTACACACTAGCAGGATCTGTGAAGTCGAAGTGGCTGCCAGCCCCA